GGGGGGGGGGGCTGAGTTTAGTGAAAATGTATTAAAATTTCACAATTTCACAAATTTCCCCCTCTGTGCCATCCCTGAGATACACAACCTCGGAAGAAAGTTTGAGAGATACACAGTGTGTAAACAGTAAATCTGTAAAGAAGTACCAAGACTAAAGAATTTTGCGAAAGCCTTGTTTTCTATTGTTTATAAAATACAATATATAATTTATTGTATGCACTCCTAGTTAAGAAATTATAGAATTTACCTACAACATTGTATGCAGTATTTGTAATAATTATATAGAGTTGGCAGTTGTGTGAATCATTCAATACCACATACTTATGTCGTTTAAAAAATGACCAAGTTTTAAATAGACTTTACATGTARCTAGTTAAGTTTATGGGATTTTTATAGTGGTTTTTATAGTTTTTTTACTGATTGATATTTATCATATGCATAGCACTAAAAGAAATCACTATGAGAATGTGAGAAACAAGTCAAAGGACTCACCTTCTATTTATCTTGTCCATAGTGATCAATAGCTTATGAATAACTTGTTCACACATCAAGAAAAATCTTTAAAAAAAAGACTGGAAACTCTCTCTAGGAAACCTTTCTGGATTTATCGCCTTTGACCCATAATACTTAGCATAACCACGTGCTTATGCGACAATTTTGTCCCGTCACCTCCCCCAATGTTTTATGATCTTAGATGACTAGATCGCATCGAGAGCCGTCGAGAATTATGGCGCTAAAAATCGTGTAACGTTATAATATTATTTACTCTGACGAAGAACAAGCAACTCAACGTGAGTATTCCTATATTTACCAATTCATCCCCAACTTTTATTCCATAACACAGCGATGATTATTTTTCCTTTTCTTCCAAGCTTTCAGTAAAGCTCATTGTCAAAGTGGTTTTCGTGAGTGAAAGTATCACAAGGAGATCAAACAATCAAAATGTTTAAAAATCTCTCGATTCACTTGAAGATTAATTCTTTAATCTTACTAGTTAGTGAACTCCGTTCTACATCTTGCAGTAGTGTTAGGAACGTGAACAATTTGAAAGTCTCCAACTTAAATTTACCCTAGTGAGTAGAATTGCCCTAACTTTATGTAAACGAAACTCTTAGCTTTACTGTCTGTCTTTAGCCATTTTCTGTTTTACTTTTATCAGCTAATTACTTAGCTTTGACGGGTATTCACAAGGGCAGACAAAGCAGCCTTCCTATTTTTTATGACATTTTCCTCGCTCCTACCTAATAATTTTTCCCTGAGCTATTTCTCCCTCCGCAAACAAACGAATCCTTATGAAATATACTGTATTAATTTAATTGGACGATATGAATGTTTTTCTCTCTTTATACCGCCTCTCTCTTTTTCTTTTATTTTTCCGTTGTTTCTTCCTYCTGCCTGCTTCGTTCCTCTTCGCTCTTCGTGTGAGTATGCGAGATGGGGTCATGTGAATTTGTAGATGTATTTATGCATATACAGAATTTTATTACTTTTAAGTAAATTTACTTATAAGTAAACTCTTTGTGTGTGGAGCAACTACATATAGTCACGAAACAGATTTGAGTTTTTTTAATTAATTTGTTTTCATATCTTTATAAAAAGGTAAATATAAGCTAGAATAAACCCCATTATCAAATCTCATGTCCGTTTGGATAATATGATCAAGAAAATCCCCCTCGTAAAACGTCGACAATAACCAGCGCAAAGGCATTTACACTTTTAACGGTTTCAAAATCAATTCAGTTAAGTTCGTCTAGTTTGTGACTAAAACATCTTGGTGGAAGCCATCGTAGTCTTTTCTCTGTTCTTCTTCATCCCGTACTTCGATTTTTATATTATGAGCTCTACGATGCTTTTGTTCACGATGTTTCGAATAYCTGTAGGAAATAAAACCACACAGCAGAAACGATAAAATGGAGCCCACGACCAAGCCAATTGCCGTTGGGATATTTCCGAGTCCACCTTCTTTAGTCGCCTCATTAAGTGCCTGTATCTTCGGGGTGCCTGTAGTAGAAGCATTCCCCGTGGGGTGGTCGGGTGAGGCTGTGTTGTCTGCTCCTTTGGTGCAGTTTTTAAATTTTCGACAYGGGTCTGATTTAATAACGGCTTTTTCTGTTGGCTTTTTTGTGCGTGGACTGTTAACATCTGCTTGAGTCTTCATGACACATCGAATATCATTAGGTGAGCAAGTCGAAGGTTTTTGCCTCTTTTTCGTAGAGTGAGTTTCTGTGGTTTTCACTCTAGGTGTTGTAGTTTTAGGAGCTTGAGTATCTAGCTGTATAACGACCGTAGCCTTGTCTTTATTGTTGCTTCCGTTCGACACTCTCTTTCTTCCCTGGCGATTTCTTTTTCTACCTCTGAGTCTAGTAGACCTGGTTACTATGGGAACTGTTGTCACGGGAACTGTTGTCAAGGATAAAGTGGCTGGGACTCTACATGACCAAACTTTGGTGCCTACGACAGAAAATCTGGGATCGTTGGTTTTTAGTTTACTGATGAATTCTACTCCACCGAAGACAACTTTTCGTAGGCAGCCCTCGAACCTGTCCTGTTCTACCACTGTTTGAGAACCACCGACAAAGACCTTACTCTGACCTCCGTTCATGTTGAATGTACTGTGAGAAGGAGGACATATGCTTTCTTTCGTAACAACACCATCCAAGATGGCCTTGACGTTTCTCCTGAACCTTCTGACGTCGATCATATGCCAGAGGTCATCATGGAGGTTGTTTCCTATGAATAGTTCGAGTTTTCCAGACCCTAGGTTCCATTCCACGACTATTCTCCCATTGGACAGTTTGATTGTGACGTAGTCTTGGGAGAAGCTGGTTTGGAGAAGCAGGCCGTTCTTTTTGGATGTCTTGAAGTGAACGTTGATGTGGTCTTGACGTGTGGCCTGGGGACGATCAGACATGTCATAAACGAGGTAATCTGCTGTAGACRAGTGCAAACGAAGCATTTCTGCAAGAAAAAAGATGGTAGTTTAGCAAAGACATTCATGAAAATATAGTCCTCACCATTGGTAAAGAAAGAAGTACTAATACTCAAGGGTATGACATACACAGAAGTCATCAAACAGCAGGAACTTGTAGATAAATTGAATCMCCGTAAAAAGCTTTGTGAAACTGACGTTTCGGACGTCGCTAGTACTCTACTAGTTTAATATCACCAATCATCAAATACGTGCATTTTGGTCCAACTTGGTTATAAACATCTTTTTTTCATCATGCCTCATATGGTGTTGTTTGAACCCAAGCTAGACCACAATGCCTCTTGTTTATTAAACTCTAAGACTGAGGGATGACAAATTTGTGATCTGAAATTGCCAAACATTACGCCCCAGTACTAGGGATTGTTTTAAGTATTATAGTCAAAAATGACATCTTGAAATGTAAAGTAATTCTAAAGAAGGCACCGGCGATTCATGTCGACGACGCACAAAGTCCACACAAAGAGAGAAAACTTTAATATTTAGCTCGACACGATAAACAAACAAACGACTCACTTCGCTTGGCCAGCTTCGCGACAATTTTTCAACTTAAACGAATTCTARAATCGAATCAAAGCTAAGAGAACTATCTTCGTAGAGAACCTTCATGTGGCGATTCTTCTCTGCTTAATAGATTTCGATTTGAMGTATTCGCCTTTTCTAGGCACAGAATAAGACTCTCTAGGTGGCACTTATTCCACATTAAGCCGGATGATTAATCCTTTCTCCTGCCAGGCATATCTGAAGGTTCCAGTGACCTCGGATAGAACGTTTGTTCATCCCGTACGTGCCGATGCAACGTGTAAAGTTTTCCCTTCTTTGCAGCGGCTCTTGCGAAATAGTTACTAAGGACTGAAAAACTAATAAAATTTTGATAGTTTAAGAAATGCAGTTTGAGGAACTGTATAAAAAAATTTCGTCAAGGGGGTTSAGTAAACTATAAAAGATAAAACGCGGAATTTCACAATAGTTGATAAATTACGAAGGGAAAAAACTCAAACCATTTCTGAGAATATAGCTAGAGAAAACATTTTATCTGCATCAAAGTTGAGAAATCAAACTAAAATAGTTTTAGGAAAAAATTTCTGAATTCCCGCCGACATAATTTTGGCAACTCAAGTGACACGTCATTAAAACTCAAGCTCAAACCTTCGAGTAGAAACTGGCAATCAATTGTTTTTAACCCAAGGATTCGGTAAGATTAGTTCACGAGTTTTAGACGTATTTTCTTCAAATTTCACAGTTTTACTCTAATTTTAACTTGCTCTTTCCAGCTATGGCAAGTATTCTTCTGTCCTGTGTGCGTTTTGGACCTCATTTTCGAAACGGCAATTTTAAACAYGATATTTGTCAATGTTGAAGTGGAAAAGTAGAACTGGACGCTCTCAATTTTGTATTCAGAAATTAACAGAAGATAATTTTAGAAACTCCAATTCTCGAGATAATAGAATCCTTTTCACATTTCGYTGAGTGAGTGTTATTTTAGTGGCTGCTGCCGTCTAACAAACTGTTTATTATGTAAGCTTTATATGACGTTACATATCTCTTGCTGAGACAAAACGTTCCGCAAGTCGGGCTGGTATCCAATTGTTTTTACTGGAAAATACACCTGGACGTGCGCAATGCATAAWTCTATCTGCGGGGAGCAAAAAGTTACATGTTTGTGACTTTAAGATTTTTTAGCTTTAACAACAGAAGCAAGAACCTGTAAAACAAGCACAAATCAAAGCTAAAAGTGTAATTCGACTACCCCAGATAAACAATACACTTGAGATAATGGATATTTATGTACAAAATCATTCCAAACCRACCTTTCTCGCATCGTTTGCCCTCATGTCCGGTCCCACTGCAATCGCATTTTGCCTTCGAAAACCTATTCACACATTTTCCATTATTCAAGCAGGGGTTTCTAACTCTGCATTCATTCAAACAACCACTCTTCGTGCCTTTGGACTTGATAAGAACCGCTCTTTCAAATACGTTCTCTGTATTTGTCATCATAATCTTCTTAATGCATCCAACAAATCTCTTCTTGAACGCAACTTGCGGGGAAGACAATAACGACAAGCTTAGAGATCTTGGAAGCCCACCGATGTATAAAATGCCAGTAGAGTTTCCGAGGAGTGCTTCGTTARGTCTTGGAATTGTAGCTGTCCGAGTTAAGTTTTGATCGAGAGTAAGAATAACTCTGTCGTTGTCTAGTCGAATCACTAATTTATGCCACAGCATGTCAGCCAAATCATGACCAATCTGCACACGCACAGAATTCCCCGATACGCCAAACCTCAATAAAACTTTTGCGCTTAACAGCTCGACGCTTAGATAATCCCTGTTGCCGTCATCTTGGTAGAGTAGAATAGAATCWCTTACATGTGTTTTGAAGAAGAACGAGATCTTCCCTTCTATACCTTGGGATGAACTTGGGGGAATCCATTTGTTATATTGCGCGAACGATGTTTTCAGGTCGTCGAASGTTGTCGCTCCCCAGACACTCGTCACACACACAGTACACAAGACAGCAGCCAAAAACGAACGCCAGGTAAGATGGTTCATGTTTGGCGAAGTCGCTYGGCTTCTCTGGCTCCCGAGCAGGGAAACTTTCAGAAGTAGAAGAGAGATAATTGGTCAAGGTCACATGAGAAGTTATTTGAGATGAGATCTTGGTTTCCGGTTTAGATCTATCCTGTAAGTGTTAAAAGACAGGAGGAAAACGCCCTGTTGTTTGATGAGAATCAAATCAGTCCTTTGCTATTGTCTAACGCATATATTTCAGGATTTACAAACTAAATATTTGAAAATAAAGACCTAGTCAAAAACTCATTGTATAAATTAATTCAAGCCTCTAGTCGATATTAAAGAACTTTTATCAGTATCTCATACTCGTTATCGGGCCGGTTTTGACCTTTGATGTGATAAGAAGTGTATAYTTTCTCTCCAATAGGGGTCCCATACGGGGATTTATAGGTCGGCCAATCAGGCGGCAGCATTAACAATGCACCATGTCAGTTATGTTCAAACATGTTGACTGCAGAAGCTATCGTCAAAGAATAAACAAATAAGAGTTGTTTCCGATGGCGTTTTCTCACCTTGACTTTATATTTCCTTTACCGGCCATGACTAATTTCCTTTGGAATAATATTAGTGATAATTTTGCAAGACTTGAATAGATTGTCATATTTAACTACCGGTCGGTTTTTTCGAACCGTAAACTTTTTTTCCCCAGGTTTTATAGTACACTCAACAAAATTACTCGACTCTGAAGGCTCGCTCAATTACAAGAACTTTCAAAACATTACTCATGCCTATTAATTTCCAAATTGTACTCAAGATCGTGCGATTTCCTATACTAATATTACATGTATTTCTTAAACTAAAACTACTCTACTGTTTCAAACCTTCTAAAATGAAGCATTGAAATCAAATACACCGGTTAATCAAAATTTTTCGAGTGTCCCACAGGCAGCCCAATCTCTTGTTCTGTGGTGTTGTGGTATTTGAATGTTAACGGTAATAYTTCGTAGCATGTAAAAAAAATTAAGAATAAAAACGACTTTGCTTGATAGCTTGTTGTATCTTTTGATGTTTTGCTGATTTTGAAGTCAATTTGGTGCGTTTTTACGGAGTTATCGTTTTGTTCGTCCTCCTACCCGGTAGCCTGCGTCACATCCGGAATTTTTTTTCGTAATAATCGTAAATATTCACGAAGAAATTCCGGATATGACGCAGCCTACCTACCAAKGAGGCCGAGAGGGGTACGGAACGAGATGCGCAGTAGTGATTGCGCAGTAGTTCAATGCGCGGGTGATTCGAATCAAGATGGCGGAATACAATATTTACGACATTTGGGCATCAATTTGAACAACTTTTACGTTATATACTGGAATGCCACGGAAAAAAGTAAATAGGAAAAAACGAAAAGACCATGGTAAGTCAATTTTCCTTAATTCTGGGTCATTTTTCTAACGAAAACATCGGTTAAAATCCGTCYCAAAACTCTTACGTGAGCAACTGCCAACGCCAACACTTGAAAAAAGCCTGGATTTTTTCTTCTTCTTTGCTCTCAGCTTGAARAGTTTCTAGCTTATTTATATTACTTTATTCTTGCTTTTAAAAAAGTACTTTTACCAAGGAAGATWAAACTACCAGTACAAAATTGATACAAAAGATGAGTTACGCCATTTGAAAATATAAAAGGTTGTCTTTATTTCTAACAACGTCTTTAACTACAGATTTTGAATCTTAAAAATAATAATAATAGAAACAACAACAACAACAAAAAAACAAGTTAAGGTACAAAATAATTTATTCAAACCAACCCTRTACTTTATACACTAAGATACAGTTAAAATCAAATATTTCAATTTGATTGGATTTTTTCTTATTTTTTGTTACGTATATTTATTTGTTCAGTTGTATCAGACAAGGATAAAATTGTRTTTCATCCTTAGCATTCTATTCATGGTTATTTCTTTAGGCCAAATGTTGCCCTTACTCATAGTTTTATTTTAACATTTATCTATTTGATTATCTGTACAATTCAGGGTGAAGTAATACAAAGTTGTTGTTGTCTTATACCATGAAAAAACCTTTGAGTAGATATAAGTCAGGGCACAGCTAATTAACTCACAGATTGAACCCTGAAACAGCCATTGGGCTGATCAAAGTTAGTTTGCAGCTGACTTTTAGATCAAATTCACCTTTTCGGCAATAGCTGTGACGTCGTAAACACTTTGTTGGATTGTGTTACGGTCACCAAAAAGTTTGGACATCGTTCTCTGATTCCCATACAAATTCACTGAGTTCATAGAGAAAATTTAGATAGACTTCTTTAGTTAGCTCTCTTAACAGCAGTAAGAAAAGCTTCAATCAAGTTAGAAAAATGATATTGTATTTAGAGAACTAACTAAACAAACCAAGTAAAAAGTTCATTAAAAGTCAGTACAATTGCACGGAAATCTCAGAACAATGTCGGAACTTCTTGGTGACCGTAACACAATCCAACACAATTTATACCACTTGAYGGCTAGGGCCGAAAAGGTGAATTGGATTGTAGTGTGTGGGGTTTTGTGGAAGGAGGAATACTAGAGAGCAAAGAGAAAAACCCTCAAATCAAGTGAACTAAATCCTAGATCTGTGTCWGAAAATGTTATGAATTTATTGTCTTTTATCACTGTTTCTCACAGATGACACAGAATCAGAGTCTGGGAAACTTTCTGAAACACAGGAAGTAGCAAAAAGACTTTCCAGGACTCGTTTGGTAAGTTGAAAAGGTCTTAACACTTTCAAAATKATGATTGACTACATTTTGAATTTTGGTTTGAGCTCTCCAAATGGTCATTGAGTGAGTGTTATGTTTGTTAGAAACAAGATGTTATATTTTATTTTATTTCAGGGAAAGGAAAATGCTTCCCGGCCTCATCATGTCAACTTGAAGAAAACAAAGAAAGGTCCCCTAGATCCCTATGATGCCGACTCTGAAGTYGAATCAGATATTAACATCCAAACAGACACTGACAGATCACCTATGACTCCCATGATCACTGACAACATCCCTGAAACTTTGCCGTCAAATCCACGTTTAACTGCCTTAAATCCTCAACTGTCATTATTCCACCAAGATCACTCWACACCAAGTACCATAACTCCTGGACGTTCAGATGACTCTCTCTATGGRTTTGGGGCTGTTTTGAATTCTCCACTTCCGTTCTCTCCTGTTAGTGCTACCCCWTCTGGCCTTCCTTCTTCTCCCTCAGGTAGTGTTTTTTCTATGACATCATCAATGTCAACTACCATATCACCTGGGAAACGAAAACTTAATTTGAGGGTTTTTGATATGCCCATTGAGAAGCCTTCCAAGAAGGCAAAGAAGAAGAAAACAAAACTGGGCAAAGAGGTGAGTACATCCTTGCTGTAYGAACTGTATGATACTATGAATGTGACAAAACTGGTTTCTCATGCCAGTAAAGCATGTCACCGCACRCCTCCAAATGTCAACAACTCCACATACCAACATCAAACATTGAGTCCACATTYCATTTTCTGATTATTGTTGGGAAGAAAATTATCAAAAGTATTCCGACACATGAAGAAGGGAATTCAGACCAAATGTTTAATTTTTGTGAGSGGAGTCATGGCCATGATATGTTTTTCTGGCGTGAAAAGCCAGTTCAGCGACAACTAGTACTGAATGTTCCTTTATACTTTTATACCTTCTCTATCCCATTTTTTTTGTTTCATTCACTTGATTTTTGAATTCTTTCTCTTTTCAAGATACCTCAGAATGAAGTAAGTCAAGTCCTTGGTGATTTTGAAGAGGTAGAAATGTTTGACTTGATCATTGAGTAGATGGGTACATTGTATTCATGTATATATACTATATTTTTTGTATAAAGACCTYGTCTTGTAAATATTTTAGCTCTTTGAAAAATAGAAAAAAATGTGGTATAAATGCCTGCGGTGGGAATCAAAGAAAGGGTTGATTTTTTATTGGGAAATGAGAATTCAACTTGATAGCTATAACTCACTGACCAAAARACAAACAAACAAATCAATAAACAAACAAACAAAATCAAAAAGGAAGCAAAAACAAAAACAAAATTACTTTTACTCCGATGAAGGACTAGCGTCCGAAACATCAGTAAGTTTTTTCATCTTTTCACGGTGTATAATTTACCTTTTCACCATTACTATGTACAAACAGATTTTGTGCAAAAGCTGTTACACCTATTTTCAAAATTACACGACCTGTGTAATTGGCACTTGAAAGGTATTTCTTGTGTTTTGGCTGCCGTTGACCAACTTCGGATGATTTGTTTTCATTCAAAAAAAGCCCAAAATGACCTTAAAGTTTCAACTGCTTTGAATATTACAGAAAGAAAAACAAGCTTGCTTTGTTTCAGAATTTGCAAAGCCAGGATTCTGCAAGAGCAAGCCGTTTTCATATTTGATTGATGGCAGCCAAAACACAGAAAATGAGACGAGTTGTGAGCAGCACTGGTCGCGTAATTTTGAAAATAGGTGTAAACCCTCTACATAGGGAAGTATTGTTATTTTCTGGAATTGGAAATCCCAGCTATAGAAACCTATCCTTACAAGAGGGATGCATGGATACCTTGCTTGCTGATTAATGGGGGTTAGAAATGAGAAACTCTCTGGCTGTGTTATAAAACACTTGAAGAAGTGTYGAGAATCACTCTGCCATGCTCTGTGCTTCTCTTAACACTTCTCTCGTGTTCTGCCAATCCCATGTGCTGTGTGCAAATATATGCTTTATAATTGCACATAGCATATGCATGTGCACACATTTTCTATCTACTAAATACCACTAATAACTCTCCGTACCCTTTCTTAAAAAAGCAAGGGATGTTTTGAAAGTCAATTGGTTGCTATATTTTTTTTGTAAATAATGTGCTGATAAGTAGTTGCRTGTCCAATTATATCCCTAAGCCTTATTTTAACCTGTTCATTCCAACTAAGCTTGGTTAGTCAAATCTAATAACAAATCTAATCAAATCAATAACTAGTCAAATCTATAACTAGTAGTCTATCATCAATGCTGCATTCTGATTGGATGAGATACTACTAGGCTATAAGTTATAGCCTTCTAGTAGCGAAAAGTGCCAGCTTTGAAAACCAAAATATTATATTTAATTTGAGAAGCTGAAAACTCCTACGCTCCTCTCGCATTCTCTCAACATCCCGCATGTTTTGATCAGAGTATCTAACACAGGAAACTGATTTTGATCTGTTAATTCTAAACTGGTTTGCATCTATTGATGCATAGCCCATTTGGTCTTAATGACTAATTGCTAATAAGTTATTAATTGCTTATAAGTTATTAATAGCTAATTAGTTATTCATTGCTAATTAGTTATTAAATGCTAATTAGTTATTTATCGCTAATTAGTTATTTATCGCTAATTAGTTTTTAATTGCTAATTAGTTTTTAATTTCTCTTTCCCACATCCTTCCTTGTTTGGCCACCATTTTTAAATGGATTAAAACTACTTCCCCAAGGTAGTTTAGTTAAACAAGGTTTGAACTTGTTTAGTTAAACTTGAGTGCAATGTGATTGGCCACTAATTTAAATAAACAATTTTTAAACCTGTGTAATAAGGCTATGGTTTGAACAGGGCATATGTGYGCTACACTACTAGGTCAGTAAAAAATATTTAAAGAATATATTTTGAGTATTTATAATCATAATTTYGAGATCCAATGTTTTAAAAGACCCATTGCCACTTACCGTGATGCATCACAATTTGTTTACATTTTGAATCGTGTCACCACTGAAAAAACAATTCTAACCTTTTGAATAAACTCTTAAAAGAATGTAAAAGAATCATTATTGTGCCTTAGTGCTATGTCGGAAAAGGATTTAATATGAAGTTATTATTCAATATATATGAATCTTTGAATTTCATGGACCACGAAATTCATCTGCGACCGCGGTACATCACGGTAAGTGGCAATGGGTCTTTAAGCTTAGCTTCTTTTAAACGAAAATTATTAAATGACATGTGTCAGTTCATTACGACCTTCATTTTGATAATRCAAAAGTATTTTATGTATTCAAAAATTAATTACCAAAAATTTAGTGTTAGCATGTGCCCCCTTCCTACTCTAGTGTTATGGCTAGATTTATGTTAATAAAAATGTAAATAATATCTGTATGTGCAAAGATTGGTTTATATATARTCATCATTTTGCTAGGATCTGTGCCAACTTAAGTACTCAGACATTGCCAATCAATCAAATRTTAAAAATCAATAGTTATTGGCTGATTTCAAGCATCTAAAGCAAGAGAGATAACCTTTGTTACAAGCTCTAAGTTTAGACTGTGACGTGTGGCTGGTGGTCAAAACTAAAACCAAAATTTAATTTTACTCCACCCAGCAATACTGTACATTTTCCTGTACAATTTTGCAACAATAAAAAAAAACCCGATAAGAAATAGATTTTCCGTTTAATCATATCCGTTTTGTGATCACTACCAAATCCTGTAATCTGATTGGTTCAAAGGAGTGCGATTAATTCCCAAATCGCATCCTTAGGAGCTCTTAATCACATCCTTTTGAACTCTTAATCGCATCTTTTTGAAAGAACCAATCACAGAACAGAAATTCTTATATTCAGCCAATCAGCCAATATTTGATGATTTGCTGATAAATCGTTTATTTTATACCAGGAAAAACCTGATTGATTTACTTCTACATTAAATTGATTATTCTGCACTCTTTATTGTATCTTTTTCTTGTGTATGATTACAAAAAGGATATGATTAAGTGGTAATTGAACTTCGTGTCGTGCAATTTTGGACCAAAAAAATTGCACTCCACTCAGTTCAATTACCATCATAATTTGCCTTGGCTGCAGTTTGATATCCCTATGGGTATCATTCGCTAAGTCGGCTTATTTCCTGAGCCTAGTTGTACGAGGGTTGGATAGCGCTATCAGACGGATAAATCCTATCCAGTGRATAAATTTATTGGATAACAGCATCGACTTATCCACTGGATAAGAATAGCGCTATCCACTCTTCGTACAACCGAGCCCCGTGCTCCGCATCACCACCTCTCTCGTGACTCTCTCTAATTTTAGCCTGTGACATACGTATGGCTGGTCAAAAATGAAACYAAATTCAAATCGATCGACTGTCSATCACATGGCATTACGCACAGTTCCGCTTATTTCCTAGAAGAACAAACAGTATGAGGAAGCGTTCGTATGAAAGCATATAAATCTTATAGTAAAGGTATCTTGGTTTCTCTTCAATCAAAAATGTTCATTCTTCCAGCGTTAAGAGTCGCTCTCATAGCGATATTTTTTACCGATGCCGTGAAAAGCTTTCCCGAGGTCGAGTATTGTCTACAACAAAGTCCAAGTCTGTCAGGAGAAAACGGATCTTCAAGCATSTCTTTTACAATTGAAGGCAACCTTTCCAAGGAATTTGGCCATTCTATTGCTTGTCAGATCAAGAATGATGCGAATGCATCGTTCTTATACATCAATGGGTACAAAAACTCGACAGGTAATGATAATCAGGGGAAAATTACTAATTAATTTTCCCCTGTGATAACATATTTAGCTAGCATCAATATTACCAAGTTATTACTGGTTTTGTCACGAGGTCCGGTTTTGTTTTCGTTTTTAAACCAGATGCTTTTCTACTCTAATGTTTCAAAACTCAAACTCTAAGGAAAGAATTTCACTCGAGTACGGTGGTGAAGGATTAAGATAAATAATGCGGAGAGACGATGGAATTCTCAAAGCCGGCTATGAAGTTACAAAAAACGGGGAGGTCTTAGGGAACTCTATGATCTTCGCCCCCTCCTCACCCCCTAAATAAGAGAATTATAGTAAAACATATATCTTTTTTACATTCAAAAGCACGTACCATCCAAAAACAAGTACCATGGAGTATAGATTGCGTGACTGCGTGACATGGTTCAAGGGAAGGTCTCGGTTTCGGCTTAAATATGACATACACATTTGTTAACTAAAACGGAAACTCGAAAGCCTCTCTGAAAGCGTAATCTTGGACCGCTTTTCGAAATTAAAAGTAAAATTGCAGTAATGAATGTAACTTCTGTTTGCAATGTGAGAATAGATACCTTTTGTTTACCCCACGTATCCTCGTCCTGAAGGGCTTGAATGCGAGGTCACGCGGGGGAACTCTAAAGGTCAATAGCTGGGGA